TCCATCTACAGCAGCAGTAGTATCTACAGCAGTGAGCAGAATTGTGCGTGCATCGAAGGNGACCAAGCAAACCACGCGTGAGGTGAACCAAGCAAACCACGGGGGGGGTCGGTCATAGTAGTTACTGCTTTGTCCCAGCAGACAATAACAAACAGGCTCTCTGCTGTCACCCAGCTTTCCATGGGCTACTCAATGAAAGTAGCAGAGGAGACTCCATCTACAGCAGCAGTAAGATCTACAGCAGTGAGCAGAATTGTGCGTGCATCGAAGGGGCTGACTACTGTGACCTACATCTAGCGTACAAGGGGCTCCATCGCAAAGCATCACCAGAGGAGGCTGGCTATATCAAGTGTGTTTCTTCTTGTGCTGCAGCTGGTGCTGCTGCTGCACACCTTTGTACGCACATAAACTATGTGTGTTAAGCCCTCGCTGTGTGTACCATGGCACCGCTGTGATGGACGGAAGCTGTGCGTGTGAATCTCTCGCTGTGTGGACCATGGCACTGCTGCGTGACGGTACATGTAGGTACACTGCTCTACATGTTGGCGTGTTGGACGTATGTACAATCTTGTAGCAGCAGCAGTTACACCGCACATGGGACGGAGCCCCCGCGTACCCGTCAACACAAATTCTTCAATCAGGGGGGGCGGGGGGGGCGGCAACACCTACGGACATATAGGTCGCTTCTTTGTGACCTGGGCTGCGGGAGGTGCATCCCCGGAAACCAAAACGCCTGTACAACACATCAGCAGCAGCAGACAACACATTATTAGAGCCAACACAACATAGATAGCAGCAGCAATGTACACACACAACCGACGGGCTGCTGCCAGGCTACTCGGCTTCAGGCTATTACTGCTGTAGCACAGACGGTTGCTTTACTGCGGTGAGCTAGCACGGAATGGACTGCCAGCCACCAAGCAGTGAAGTCTAGGTGTGTAGCATCTGTGTGATGGCTGTGTGCTTCGGTTAGGAACCACAGAGCAGCGTCGATCTATCCCGTCCTCCAAGCGTGTACATGGGACAGGTACGACACACATCATAGACGCGCACGTGTAGCATACGGCATCTTCCTCACAGCCCTTTCTGTCTCTACTTCTGTTGGAATTCTTGCTGTGTCTCTCGATTCTCGACCAGACTTGCTCGACTGAATCAAACTGCTGGGGCACGCCACAACTGCATACCCCGGACTTGAAAATTCTTCAAGTAATTGGGGGGGGGGGG